TTTTATTTTTTTAATATGTAAAAGAAGAAGACGTGACAGTACTTGGCAGCATGTTGGAGTTCAGTGACACTGCGTGCCATTTCCAGAGCATCTTTAAACCTGGTTCTGTTAGCTACAGTCACAGTCCCATTCAGAGTGATGAAGTCTGGTAGACATCTCTGGAAAACTGACATACACACAGAGGCACACAAAGACAAATACTTCATATTGAGTCTGTATAATAGTTAGAAATATCAAGGGAGCAAGCAACATAGTATTCCACCATCTAATTTGTGGGAGTGGGCACTTTTAAATTTAAAAAGGACATAATTAGTTGATATTTTGCAGTAAGTTCTCACAGATAGAGTTGTCTCATCCTTACATGGTCTACTAGGTACAATCATGGAGGGACAGTCCTCATCTCGTAGAACCTGAGACACTGGCTAGAAGAAACAGTGGAGAGACAGGAGGGTTAGAATAAGAATATGTATGTGTGTTCTGGTACTTTGTAAACAAAGACAACAAAAACAACAAACAAAAAGTGTTTTTTAGGTCTACAGTTGGATTACATCATCAACAAAGATTCAGAGATGCATTCCCAATGGCAGTATATAATTAGTAATAGAAATAAGAAAATAGAGGGGCAATATGGGAGTCGGTGAGAGTTTTGGAGATTTTGGATAAACCACTGACCCTTGATAAATTGTAGAAAACTCTATACTCATGCTCAACAACAAGTCCCTGGGTTTAGATGGATACCCAATATAATTTTATAAACATTTCTAATTATTTTGTCCCCCTTATTTTTCAAAATAATCTACAAAATCATCCATAGATTTAAAATTCCCTTGCCTTACAAAGACAAAAGACCTTAACACGTTTTTTTGTTATCCAGCTAAATTAATTGTATACAGAATATTGGAAATGTGGCAATTCTTTGAATTTTTAATAGTTATTATAAAAGTTATTTATCTCCCAAAAATGTTTGGAAATTAAAAAAGATTTTCCATGCGAAGGCAAAAGGTATTACCTTCCATTTAATCACTCACTTGGTTAACTGATTACTATATAAAATCAGTATATGATAATAATGATAAAATTACATAAAATCTAGTGATCATGGCACAATTAGGCTAGGAGTTTGGTTTTGTTTGTAGCCTAAGCTAGCTAATATCTTTCTTGTAGCCTAACGTAATCTTTCTTACCTTGCGTATGAAGCTGTAGAGCCAGAGTATTTTTTACATCTAACTGTGGTGAATTAAGGGATTATTTGAATGTGTAAGACTAGTTTGATGACAGGGAATACAGTTACAAGGTGATTCGCAGAGGCTCCAAACAAGCCTCTAACTCCAGGGGAAAACAAGGACACAGCAGATACAGCCCGGGTCAGGAGAGGAGAGGCATGAAGCGGGTAGAGAAGCGAGGGAGGTCGTGGGCATCCAAGAGGCAGCGACAGCGCGTAGAGACAGAATATTTTAATATCTTACCTAGAGTCACAGTGTAAAGACTATAAAGACGGTTTAGTGAGTTTTAATTTTTTTCTGTCAGGTTTGACTGAAGTGTGTTTTTAGATAGCTTAACAAGGTATTCGTTCGTGCTCATCTCCCAGCTGGAACTACTGGGGTGGTTGGGGGGCACTCACATAGCACACACACATGCGCAAACATATATATAGATATATACATATATATATATAGAGATATATATATATATAAAAGCCTTAACTGATGTTAAAGGATTCTACATGTTTTTTTTCTGGGGGTTGTGAAAGTTAAGGCAAAGACAACCTACCATTTTCTCCAGAAAACAACGAAATTGACTCAAAAATCTTTGTCCACATGATAAAGCATTAAATTAAGGCCTTTTGCCTTTGCACAGTACTGCCTTAATTACTTATCTCTTTATTCCCTTACTCCCTCACTTACTTATCCCTAAACCAAACAAAGACCACCGCACACTGCTCTAACTACCACCCTATATCTTAACAGATGTTAAAATTATAGACAAAGCTTTGGCAATAAGACAGGAATCTGTAATTTCACCAGAAATTGTACATCCAGATAACTGCTGCTAGGTCTGAAAAACCAACATGGGGACGGCCATAATACAGAACTCGAAGCTTTAAAGTGGTACTCTACAAACCAAAAGGTTACGTCACGGTAAGGATAAGGTTCACACTTATGTTCCTGAGGTCACTATACTTGGACATGCTCCAATCCTTGGCTACACCATTTTGTCCATTAAAATTTGTATCAGGATCCACTTTGACTCTCACAATATTGTAATACTGTACTCTATGCTGTAAATTCTCTCTCAGTATGTAGTATGTAGTATGTAGTATGTTTCAAAAGTATAGGTACCTTGTCAGGATTATTAAAGCCAGGCTTACAGAACTGTTTGTAATATTCCCAGTAACTCTTGCTGAGTTTGTGTTGCAGCTGCATCTCAGTATAAGTGGCAAACTTGTCCGGACACTTTGACACACACATCTGGAAGAAAATTGACACAAACAGTACAGATGTTCATTAGCGTTATGGACATATGGATCTCACAGTCACAATACCAGTGCAGATTTCCATTCCACTAGTAAAAACCATGCAGCTTTCAGTAACAAGTGCATTGTATCTAAGTTATTAAGCATTAGAGTAAAGTATGATAAATTCAATATGTCTCTACCAAAAATCTGTGTTGTACTACAGTGTCTGAGCAGTATGTTAGTCTCTTTCCCTCTGTTACAATTTAATACACTTTAGCTTAAACTGACTCAAATCAGTTTATGTGAACTTGATCAACTGATGCTGATTCATCATTAGTTGTTAATAGAGTACCTGAGTTGTGGGGCACTGTAGGTTGATGAGTATAGCTGGGTTGGTACATTTCAGGATGTTGAAATAGAATAGGATGGGTTTATTCCTGTAAGAAAAGTGTGAATGTAAATCACACACATACAATATATCAGCAACCTGACATTCAACAAGTTAAGTTAGTTAGTTATTTTGCAGGGAAATATTGTCATTTTCCTTTCTTTTGTCTGCAATATCTGCTTCTTTTTGGTCAGTGATTTCCTGACCCAGAATGCCTTTAATCAATCCCCAGAATAGAGATTGCAAAGCAGGGCAGAGGCACATTTAATACTTAATATTGCGATTTTAATAACATTTAGATTTTTCTTTTCTTCAAAGTTATTATTTTGGCCTTTTCATGCCTTTATTTGATAGACAGCTGAAGATCGACAGGAAAGGGGGCGCAGAGAGAGAGGGGATGTACACGCAGCAAAGAGGCGCAGCAAGACTCCGTATATTCCGGTCGCCAGCTCCTACCGACTGAGCTAACCAGACGCCCAATTGTACAGCCCTTTTAAGAACCCCAGTTACCAGGATTGTTTGCCTTTTAAACATATGACAAGAATAACAATGAAAAATATTACATTTTAAATATTATAAGTGGCTACTACCAGAAAGGCACTAAATATATATAATAATATATAAAATATAATAGGTGCTATTACATTATGAAGGACTTCCATATTCAGATTGTTACTACATCAAGACCTGTAAATTCTTTACAAGCCTTCATTATTTAATTTTTCATTATATGGAATTCAGTTTTCTTAACAATCATTTTATGCATTTTGTATAAGCAGTACTGTGTGAGGTGAAGGAGACACCTCATTTAGATTGGCTGCTTTTAAATTTTGACATTTTTCTTTAAAATATAATTTAAAAGGATGCACTGATTATCAAAATAATTGGTGATTAATTTAATAGTTTACAATTAAGTCCAATTAATCGACCTCAATCTTGCAGCTTGTTAGGTTACGCCTAGGTGACATGCACGTTTGCATGCAACAATGTCACAGCTATTTTCAAGTAAACATTGATGCACCAGATTTTTAGATTCAGTGTGACCACACTGAGGATATCATTATCTCCAAAGTCCATTGCAAATACACATCAATGAATACACCTAGAAATCATACAAAAACTTGTCAGAGAACATTGCAATTTCATATATAATATCAGAGCATATCTGTGGATGAGGGGGGGTACCATACTTTTAAAACCTCTGACCTACAGAATTAAGAAAATTCCAGGCTATAATAAATAGCCCTTTGGTCTTAAGGCCCGGACACACCAACCCGTATACTGGCCGTCGCGAAATCGTCGGACCGTCGGGCGAGGTCGGTGCTCGAGTCGAGTTCGGTCGTGTCCCGTCGGGCACGTTGATTCAGTCCGGCGCTCGGCGTTCAATTTGGCCGATTCGACATGTAGAATGCCAGTGCGCGTCGGCCTCAATGCCAATCCTGATTGGTGAGTGCATATAGCCCTTGACTAGGCGAATCAGTGAAGTCACGAGAAAACGCAGGGAAGTAACCGATGGGTAAATAACTAAGCCAACCACCGTATCCTTGTTATCCCTCATACGGCCCCATCGTATTTTGCCTCTCAGCGAGTCAACTGACACGTAATAACGAGTCCTCGGTCTGATACTATCAACACTCTCGTGAATGAACGCACATGATATGACGACAGTGTGGCTCTTGTGTTATACTAAGGCTTGGTGGTGTCCTGGCCTTCTAACCCCGACGGCCGACCCGTCAAGGGAGAAACAGCAGCTCAGGACTGATCCGTCTGGCTCCCCTCGTCCCCTTGAGTCGGTCAAAAAAGTGCCTCCGAACCACACCAACGACGTTGACTGGGCGTACGTTCCTGCGCGTCCGCGCACGAGGCGTAATACGTCACCATGAACAGCCAGGGCGCCCGCTAATCGCTGTGTGTCGCGCCAAATCCGAGAGAAATAAACCGGCAAATGAGGATCCTCTAGACTAGGTAAACACAGCAGCAACACTGTATTTTCAGTGCATTGTTTCATCAGAAGAGTTTTTGATAGTAGTCAAGAAGGATGCGTTAATTGTACATTACTCGCTGAACGGAAAATCTGACTGATCAGTCCGCTTTTTTTCTCTGCGACGGTCGGCCATGGGGTTGGTGTGGGGAAGGCCTTTACATGTCGAATCAGTGGGGTTCTCTGCTATGCTCGCTTGGTTAGTGTGAATATTTTACAAAGAAAGAGGCTCTTCCGCATGTATGTTACAAGAAATCACCGATAGATGACAGGGCAAGCAGAGAAGCAATAGCTGTATGTCTTCGATCTCCAAAGTCACAGACTCACAACTCACGGACTTAATCCCAACATCCCTCGTACACTTCTCCTGCAGCCCGAGAGAACCTGTAATTGATGCTGTTTTTTACTGAACAGTATGTTTATGAGTGTTCTATTTTGTTGTTTGGTCTAATATCGTTGACCATTTATTTTGTCTCGCTCTAAAAAACAGTGAACTAAGATGAATCTTTACTAGAACTACATGCGGAACATGTTTGTGCCTAAATGAGTCTGGGTTTTAATGGCAATGCAACACGGTCCAGCTGTGATAGGAATTTAGTGGCTATAAGCTGGATATAGAGAACATGGCTGAAGGTGACCGCTCCTGTAGATAAAAATTGGCTTCCATTCGATAGGTAGAAACATACATAGATTCCATGGTATTTCAGGTGATTCTATACATAACCAGTTAATGAATATTATATATCATTTTGCAAGAGATCTCATACTAAATGTAGAGTAAACACTAAGACCTTATCTCAACATTGGGGTAATACCTCCTAAAGGCTGTTTCTCAAAGACTTTGCTAATCTGGAATCAGACTAAATACCCTATAGGGTGTATAAGAGGAATCTGGCAACACATTCTCACTCCAGTAAACGTCAAATACTGGCAGGGCTTGGTGGCGTCTTGGCATAATTTCTGGACACCAAAAGGTCTCCATGGTGCAACAGTAGTCACACAATGTAGAAGCAAAGTATTAAAGATATTCAGATACCATTTTTTCCTTCCAAGATACTGATACTGATATACTAAAGCTTTTGCGTATCAGCCAATATACCACAATGCAGTTTAGGTATTAAGGCACGATAAAACGAATTTGTTAGGTTTTGGGAAGAGAATTACGGGAAAAAAGTTATGTTAGTCGTCTAGTACATTATTGAAATAAATACAGTTTAAATTATTTAGTTTCACAGCAGGAAAAGAACGGCAGTTGTCGACCTTCTGTAATATAAATATAGATTAATAAAACGTACATGATACTGTTTCTTGCTACTTATTTATAACATCACTTAGCTTTAGACAGTGGGGCGTGTCAGAAAAAAGGGTGCTAGAGGGATTCCCTACAAGGTGTCATATATTTTGAGAAGAATGGAGGGAAACGCACGGGACGCCAAGGCTTACAGTGATTTTAATTCTAACTAATGCGATTGAGGACCTGTGGTTATGAGTGGTGTAATAATTAGTTGGACTTACAAAGCATTGGAAGTATACCTGTCCTGAACGCGACACAACATAACGTGCCATATTGCGTATCTGTTGGATGCAGCACCCAATTCTTGGGGAATCGCCATGTAAAACATAAAAACAGGCTAAAATGGGCAGACAAGACAGAGTATCCATGTTAACAATTATAAACGTAAACATCCAGATTTGATTATACATATATTAAATCATACATCATGATGATCGAGAATACTTTATTCATATAAATTGAAATTCCTTGGCATCAACAATGGTGGAAGTTTTGAAAGCTTAAACTAAATGTTCAGC